TCCGTCCAAAATGTGATGAGACTGAAACACTTCCACACAAGGAGTCGCTAACATGAACACACGCAGTAGTGAGGTAATGATGCTATTAGGCTCGCTAGGGGTGATGAATGTAGGTGAGCTAAAGTCATATGTAGGCCAGGTAATGGTGATCTGTAAGCTTGCTAATGATGATTGTAGACTAGCTTTTGGTGATGTATAGGGTCGATAATGGTGATGTGTAGGCTAACTAAGGATGATTTGTAAGCTTGCTGGTGTGTTAATGTGATATGTAGTCTAGGTAACGGTGATGTGTAAACCTGCTAATGGTGTTGTGTAGGCTAACTAAGGGTGATTTGCAGGTTAGCTAATCATATGTAAGTTAGCTGATGGTGATATGTAGGCTAGCAAATTGTGATATGTAGGCTAGCAAATTGTGATATGTAGGCTATAGCTAATAGTGATATGTAGGCTATAGCTAATAGTGATATGTAGGCTAGCAAATTGTGATATGTAGGCTAGCTAATTGTGATATGTAGGCTATAGCTAATTGTGATATGTAGGCTATAGCTGATGGTGATATGTAGGCTAGCTAATTGTGATATGTAGGCTATAGCTGATGGTGATATGTAGGCTAGCTAATAGTGATATGTAGGCTAGCAAATTGTGATATGTGGGCTATAGCTAATAGTGATATGTAGGCTAGCTAATTGTGATATGTAGGCTATAGCTAATAGTGATATGTAGGCTAGCTAAGTGTGATATGTAGGCTATAGCTAATTGTGATATGTAGGCTAGCTAATTGTGATATGTAGGCTATAGCTAATTGTGATATGTAGGCTATAGCTGATAGTGATATGTAGGCTAGCTAAGTGCGATATGTAGGCTATAGCTGATGGTGATATGTAAGCTAGCTAATTGTGATATGTAGGCTAGCTAATAGTGATATGTAGGCTAGCTAATAGTGATATGTAGGCTATAGCTAATAGTGATATGTAGGCTATAGCTGATGGTGATATGTAGGCTAGCTAATAGTGATATGTAGGCTAGCAAATTGTGATATGTAGGCTATAGCTAATAGTGATATGTAGGCTAGCTAAGTGCGATATGTAGGCTATAGCTGATGGTGATATGTAAGCTAGCTAATTGTGATATGTAGGCTAGCTAATAGTGATATGTAGGCTAGCTAATAGTGATATGTAGGCTATAGCTAATAGTGATATGTAGGCTATAGCTGATGGTGATATGTAGGCTAGCTAATAGTGATATGTAGGCTATAGCTAATAGTGATATGTAGGCTATAACTAATGGTGATATGTAGGCTAGCTAATAGTGATAGGTAGGCTATAGCTAATAGTGATATGTAGGCTATAGCTGATGGTGATATGTAGGCTATAGCTGATGGTGATATGTAGGCTAGCTAATAGTGATATGTAGGCTATAGCTAATAGTGATATGTAGGCTATAGCTGATGGTGATATGTAGGCTATAGCTAATAGTGATATGTAGGCTATAGCTGATGGTGATATGTAGGCTATAGCTGATGGTGATATGTAGGCTAGCTAATAGTGATATGTAGGCTAGCTAATAGTGATATGTAGGCTATAGCTAATAGTGATATGTAGGCTATAGCTGATGGTGATATGTAGGCTAGCTAATTGTGATATGTAGGCTATAGCTAATAGTGATATGTAGGCTATAACTAATGGTGATATGTAGGCTAGCTAATAGTGATAGGTAGGCTATAGCTAATGGTGATATGTAGGCTATAGCTAATAGTGATAGGTAGGCTATAGCTAATAGTGATATGTAGGCTATAGCTGATGGTGATATGTAGGCTATAGCTAATAGTGATATGTAGGCTATAGCTGATGGTGATATGTAGGCTATAGCTAATAGTGATATGTAGGCTATAGCTAATGGTGATATGTAAGCTATATCTAATGTGATATGTAGGTTATATCTAATGTGATATGTAGGCTATAACTAATTGTGATATGTAGGCTAGCTAATGATGATATGTAGGTTATAGCTAACGACGATATGTAGGTTATAGCTAATGATGATATGTAAGCTAGCTAATAGTGATATGTAAGCTAGCTAATGGTGATATGTAAGCTAGCTAATGGTGATATGTAAGCTAGCTAATAGTGATATGTAAGCTAGCTAATGGTGATATGTAAGCTAGCTAATAGTGATATGTAAGCTAGCTAATGGTGATATGTAGGCTATGCAGTTCATTTTTTAATAAATGAAAATGACATTAAATCTGTAAACAGTAACCTTTGCAAAAATACATCTTGATACCATTTTCAAATATTTCAACACACCAAACCTGACTCTACACTTAAAAATCACAGCACATAAAACATTACTATGAATTCAAAGCTATGATTATCACCCAGCAGACCTGGGGCTGACGTTTACAAGAAGCAAAAACTTGCAGTGGGAGTTACGCTGCAACCCTAGAGAGGCGGGGCTTTGACTTTAAAACATCTTTACTGTCACCATCACTTCCAGATTATTAATAACTATTTTCCAAGGTGGTTTTCAAGCCAAGTTTAATTGAAACAGAACTTCACCAGTAACACATCTGTTCCAGTATCTCAGTCACGGTCACATTAAACACCACCTGAGAGAAACCTGACAGCCTGTGGCTCATCTTGGAACGTTTCCTTCAGCACTTCTTTAAGATTCCCAAGAGGAGAAGAGGAGAACAGGAGAAGAGGGAGGAGAGACAGACAGAGAGAGGAGTTTCTCTCATTAAATCTGAGGGAGGCTAACAATCGTCTTCACCCTGACACATACAGCTTCTGGACATCCGCTAACCGCTAACAAAGCGGATCTGTTTCTTCCTCTGGAGCCCTTTTACAGTGACTCGCTGGTGCTGCCGAATCTCCAACCACTCTGTGTTTCCACCCCAGGAAAACTACACTACGCTCAAAACGCTCCCTAATGACTGTTCCCTACGTTAGACCTCTATATTAGACCTCTATATTAGACCTCTACATAGAACACTACAATAGTGAACAGGAACAGATCCTTAATCACTGTTCCCTACATTAGACCACTATATTAGGACACATTAGACCTCTACATAAAACACTATAATAGTGAACTGGAACAGCTCCCTAATCACTGTTCCCCTACAACAGACCACTATATAGAACACTATTACAGTGAACAGGAATGTTCCTCTAATCACTATTTCCACAGTATATCTGTTTCTTATAGGGTTCTACACAATGGGATATTAGAACATTATGTAGAACACCATAATAAGGAACAGAAATATTTCCTACATTAGAGCATTATGTAGAACACTACTGTAGTGAACAGGAATGGTCCTCTATTCACTATTCCCTGCATTGAAGCACTCCAAAGAACATTATTATAGTGAACAAGAATGATCCCCTTATCACTGTTCCCCACATTAAAGCACTATACAGAACACGATTAAAGTGAAAAGAATTGGTGCCCTAATCACTATTCCCCAAATTAAAGCACTATATGGAACACTATTATAGTGAATGGGAATGGTCCCCTAATCACTATTCTCTATATTGGAGCACTATATCAAACACTATTATAGTGATGATCCCCTTATCACTATTCCTCACATTGAAGCACACATTAAAGTGAACAGAAATGTCCACTAGTCACTGTTCCCACACTGAAGCACTCTAGAGAACGCTACTATATGGTTCTCTAATCCAGTGTTTCTCAGTCCTGGTCCTGGAGGCCCACCGTCCTACACATTTTAGTGCTTTTCCTGCTTTAACTCAACTCAGTATTGGGATAATTCGATGGATATGGGGTGTGTGAAGCGAGTAAAACACTAAAAAGTGCCGGACTGTGCATCAGTATTATAGTGCCCTGTTCACTATTCTTTGCATTGAAGCACTGTATAGAACACTACTGTCAGATGTGAAAATTGTCCCCTAATCACTATTACCCACATTGGAGCACTCTAAAGAACACTATTATAGTGAACAAAAATGGTGCCGAATCACTGTTCCCCACATTGAAGCACTAGAACACTATTATAGTGAACAGAAATGGTGCTTAATCACTGTTCCCCACATTGAAGCACTAGAACACTATTATAGCGAACAGAAATGGTCCCCTAATCACTGTTCCCCACATTGAAGCACTAGAACACTATTATAGCGAACAGAAATGTCCCCTAATCACTGTTCCCCACACTGAAGCACTAGAACACTATTATAGTGAACAGGAATGGTGCCCTAAAGCCCTACTAGATTTTAACCTGTTTTTGGGGCCACTGAGAAATGGCAAAATCCCAGAATAGTGCACATAGTAGTGAATAGGGAACCAGTGAACCAAAGGTTCGTGGGAAAGGAAAATGTCATGAAGTTGTTTACAGGAAGAACTTCTGTTTTCCATTTGAAAAAGACACCAGTGGGCTATGGAAGAGATCGGCACCTCACCGGCACCATGGTCCCCAAAAGGAGGACAAGATACAGCGCTACATGCTAACATTGCTAACGTTATGCATGCTAAGGTTGCCAGTTAACATGACGTCATTTTCATTATGCTAACAGGCAAAATTAAACTTCACTGTTCAATATTAGCATGTAGCGTGCAGGATCACCCACGTCCGCTTCCAGTAAAGAGGCGGCGCTAGAAGAGGACTAAAGAAGCAGTTTTAGCCATCAGCCCCCAACGAACAGCCTGCGGAGGGTCACCCACCTGTGTGTTGGGGTCCGGGAATACGCAGGGACTGTGTGTGTGTGTGTCTGTGAGTGTGTGTGTGTGAGTGTGTGTGTGTGTGTGTGTGTGTGTGTGTGTGTGTGAGTGTGTGTGAGTGTGTGTGTGTGTGAGTGTGTGTGAGTGTGTGTGTGTGTGTGTGTGTGTGTGTGTGAGTGTGTGTGTGTGTGTGAGTGTGTGTGTGTGTGTGTGTGGTGTGTGTGTGATGCGTGTGTGTGTGTGTGTGTGTGTGTGTGTGAGTGTGTGTGTGTGTGTGTGTGTGTGTGTGTGAGTGTGTGTGTGTTTAGACTTACAGCTTTAGGTTTGAATGGTGGTTGAACCTCTTTATTCTCCAGTTTTTCCCAGTCCATATAGCGGAAGAAGCCGTGCTCTCGGATGTCCCGCTCGCCCTCCGGACCACAGCCCAGACGCTTCCCAGGGTGCTTAGTCATCAGCTACAACACCCACATGCAAGAGAGAGAGAGAGAGAAAGGGAGAGAGAGAGAGAGAGAAAAAGAGGGGTGGGGGGAGAGAGAGACACAGAAAGAGAGAGAGAGAGAAAGAAAGAGGGAAAGAGAGAGAGAGAGACATAGAAAGAGAGAGAGAGAGAAAGAAAGAGGGAAAGAGAGAGAGAGAGACATAGAAAGAGAGAGAGAGAGACAGAGAGAGAGAGAGAGATTAACAGTTTTCCTCAAGTCTTCATGGTGGTGGTGTCACAACCTTGAACACATCCCTCCATTTTGCCTACAGCGGTTTAGACCCACCGTATTTAGGGTAAACCATGATGTGCCTGTTCAAGTCAGTGGATGAAAAGTCTGGAATGCTGGAAAAGTCACAGATGACACTGAACTGTCCGATGTAACAGATGATTCACGCTTGTCGGCTTATCTTAAAGACTAGGGGTACCTGAGATTCCTGTCCTGGGGGGCCACAGTGCAATGCTGTGGTGGGTTCAGAGTCTTTGAGTGGAGCGGCAGACATTTCCACTTTAAACGCTCGAAGTGTTTCTGTAATCACTCCACTCCGGGTTTTCTATTTCCCACTCCTCCACATGATCCATTCTTACGTTATTTTTGTACGGCTCTGTCCCCCAGGCTCCAGTGACAGCTACGGGCACCTGGCGCAGTCTTATTTCATTAATTATACAATTTATGGCTGTTACTAAACAAAAATCTAGTTAAACATTCTGTGCTACACAGGCTTTTTCGGAAGGTTTAAGCTTGAAGCGACGGCCCAATCACAAGCTAAGAATCTGCCGAGTGTAAACAAACACTGATGCTCTTAACACGGAATGACACAAGACTGACTCTATCTTTAGCCCCTCCCATTCAGCCTACAGCAGTTTAGCCCCACCCATTCAGCCTACAGCAGTTTAGCCCCACCCATTCAGCCTACAGCAGTTTAGCCCCGCCCATTCAGCCTACAGCAGTTTAGCTCCACCATTCAGCCTACAGCAGTTTAGCCCCACCCATTCAGCCTACAGCAGTTTAGCCCCACCCATTCAGCCAACAGCAGTTTAGCCCCACCCATTCAGCCTACAGTAGTTTAGCCCCACCCATTCAGTCTACAGCAGTTTAGCTCCACCCATTCAGCCTACAGCAGTTTAGCCCCTCCCATTCAGCCTACAGCAGTTTAGCTCCACCCATTCAGCCTACAGCAGTTTAGCCCCACCCATTCAGCTACAGCAGTTTAGCCCTTCCCATTCAGCCTACAGTAGTTTAGCCCCTCCCATTCAGCCTACAGCAGTTTAGCTCCACCCATTCAGCCTGTGCTGTTCCTGTAGATAGTCTGTATCACTGCAGTGGAAATTGTGGGAAAATAATTAAATGTTGTGCTGTTCCTGGCTGTAAGGAAGCAAATGGATCATCACATATATGACGAATCCACACATTCTAAAAGAGCATCTGAAGACTATACCCACCCCCCGGCCAATCAGAACAGAGCTCATTCACATATGTCAGTCAAGGCGCAGTAACAGAAACAGCCTGTTTAACTGTGAGGGATAAAGAGAGGCTGAAAAAAGGTTTATGTAGAAATGAATTATGACTGTTTTTGGTACATAAAAGCCCACAAATGTCAGAGGGACAATAAAATACAGAACACTGTAGGATGTGGGCTCTTTAAACACTTGTCCAGTCCTCCAACCGCTGAAGTGTTTTATGCCTCAGTAGAGCGCTACGTCCAATACAACAGAATCGTTTGACTGTTTTATTTCACTGAGTGGCTTTAGTGTGTGTGTGTGTGTGTGTGTGTGTGTGGGTGTGTGTGTGGGTGTGTGTGTGTGTGTGTGTGTGTGTGTGTGTGTGTGTGTGCGTGTGAAGCTGAACAACTTGCAGCGTTTTTGTCGGCGGCTCTGCGCACATTAAATATTGACGACAGCAGAAAAAGTCTTTTCGGCTCTTTGTGTAGCGGAGGTCCCCGCTGGCTGCCTGAGTTTAACACTGACATACAGACAGAGTTCAGGCCTGGCTGAGAGCCACACGCTCCAGCGCCCTCAGCGCTCCACCACCACCACCACCATCATCATCATCATCATCAGTGCATACAGCAGCTCACCGTACAGTACAGCCACCCACTGAGGCGTAACTCGAGGTGAGTGAGGAGACACTGTCATTACTGTAATAAATTATATCACCATCAGAGCCTTTTCTAGAACCTCTCTCATTTCCACAATGCTAAATAATGTGTGGGGAAAAAAAATATATATATGATATAATATATATATATATATATATATATTCTAACAATTCTAATCTAATTCTAATCTGTCTAATGTATTCATTTCGTTTACTTGTTCAAAAACATAATTTGTGAGACAAACAAAAAAAAATCCTTTAAATTATCAATTTTATTAATGTCCTTTATATATCAAATAAATGCAGCGGCCACTTTATTAAACCAGAAGATCAGATTAATCAGCATAATCAGCCGTTATTGTTCCTCCTTAAAGGGTTAATATGTCCTGATCTGCTGCATCTGCTCTGATGTGAAGTCGGTGCTGTGAGACTCGGAGCTGCAGCTGAATATTTACTGTGATGTTCTGCTGTTTTTCATGTCTGTTGATATCAAATTAATTACAGTCTTTGAAATATGAGGCTCGTTTTCTGCGACTCTCGACGAAAAAGATCAGATTTCCATCTAAACCTGCGGCTCTCAGTGTCAGTCTGAGCTTTACGGCTCAGTCTGGACTAAATGTGGTCAGTAAGTGAAGCTGCAGGTCAGTCAGAGAAGAAAGGCTCTTAAACTTTAGCTACTTCGTTACTGCAGTGCAGCATTACACTGTGATCTTACAGTACTGCTGCCCCCATCAGGTGAGAGGAGGAACTGCAGCGTACAGAACACACTCTAAAACAGAAGACACGGGCTGATTAAATCTGCCCGCGGGCCTCGTTTGGCACTGGGGCTGGACGTTGGACACCCCTGCATTACTGAGACGCAGCACTGAAACCGTACGTTAGGAGAACCATGGACTAAACTAAGCTGAGACATTTAAAAACAGCAATGTTGACTTTAATTTGACTCTATATGAGCTGTAACTGATTTCACCCCTAGCTCGTTCCCTAAAGTCCACACTAGAGTTATCGTCTTTATCTGGTTCTGTAAGTTTCACACTGTAGCGGCCAAAGTAAATAACAGAAGTTGGTGTTCATCCGTCGGTAACCAATTTAGCAAAGAATCAACGCTCTGTTTCTCTCACATTCACCACCTTGAAAAAGGAGAGATAGAAAACAGAGACACTTAATTTCGATGTGTATCACAATCAAAGCAACAACGATAAACATTCCTCGAGATCTGCTTCTATATAACTGGTCACTTTGGATTTAACCAATTCGTTCACGTTTGGCCAAACATATGTTCCGTGGTCCACGTGCCGGAATTGAACGCATGTCTTGGCTATTATTTCACTGCTCTGATGTTATTAGCAGCAGCTCGTGCAGCAGGAACGATAAAAGGGCAGAGGGGAACCGTCAGGGCCCTCTACGCCCTCAGAGAGGGCCTGAGATATTCTAAAAATAATATTTTAAAACTGAGCAGTTCTAATTTTATCTGATCATATTTTGACAATCAACATCTAAACAAATACAAATCTAAGCAAATAAATCCTTTAAACCTGCCTATTTAGTTTGTACTGGACTGTAAAGGGTTAAATTAGAGAAGCCCCTCTGCCCCCCCCTATTGGAATTTGCTGTATCTGCAGTTGCTGGAGAGAGTGACGGTGATTTGGTGGTCCAGCTATAAATTTGCAGAGGGCCAAGAAAATAGTATTTCAATGAGAGACCAATTTCAAATGACAGTAAAATTGACCAATCATGTCTTCCCTCTACAGGGGTGGGCTTTGCTTTCGCTAACTTTATGACAAGTTCTGCCCACTGGGGGGACACGCAGACGCTGGGGACACAAAACTAGCAAAAAAAGGTAACTAGCTTGTTGGTTCGTGACGGAAGCCGAGAGTAGCGTTACCGCTAGCGAGGAGGACGTCGCTGTGAATCTATTATCCATGTCGTTTTCTAGATTAACTTTTAATGAAAAGTTGGAGTTAATCGGTAAAGGATGTCCTACACCTACATTTAGAGCGTTAACGTTACAATGTGCAATATGTCCAATTCACCAAACTAAGTTCTGAATGTAAACAGCAGAGGGCGCTCTCCTTCCCTATACAGGAACAGATGAAGTTGGTGACTGTTTTGCTTGTTTGATCAGATTAAACAACATGAAAAATCTCCCATCTTTTGCAGAGCCGTCCCCCAGATGAATATGTATGAGGGGCAGAACGCCCTGCTGCTCTCTCTCCTCTCTCTCTCTCTCTCTCTCTCTCTCTCGGCTCGTACGCTAGTTTGGCCACATCGCTCAGACAGAAAGCAGCTGATTTGCTCCTGAAACATGAAGAGAAAGGCTCAGCACACCTGGCCCTGTGTGTGAGTGTGTGTGTGTGTCTGTGTGACGGAGCAGATGTTGGTGTCAGTCCCACCCAGGTGCACACACACACACACACACACACACACACACACACACACACCTGCCTGTCCTGTTCCATCAGCGCTCTGAGCTAACACACGGGGTGAAGCAGAGCTCGTCTCCGGAGACAGCAATGCTGCGTTTACATAACGGTGAATAACGGCGGCAGTGTAAACGTTGCCATGGCGATAGTGGTGTTTTTGTTCACATGCAGTGGGATGGTGTTCTAAATGTTTTGTACCCTAACGAAATTTTGATTTTGTTGTATTTCAGAGTGTCCAATCTCATCCACGGTGGGTCGGTGTGGCTCCAACAAAGGAGATCATCTGATCTGCTGTTGAAGACCGAGACCAACTGAAAACCAGTAAACTCCCACCTCTAAAGTGGAGCTGACTGTGGTGAGTGATTCTAACTCTCAGCTGATTCTGAACCCTGAACACGTTTAGTCACTAAAGCCTATTGTTCATCGTCAGGGCGTCGCAGGTTCACGCTTCACAGC